CCCCCCCAGATTGATGCGCAGCTCAGAAAAATACTACGCTATTGGGCTGAGTCTAAGTTCGAATAAAAAACAATTTGCCTAGTGTCTGAAGAAATAACCTTGACGACTCACAAGGGAGGGATTTATAACAGCAACCCAAAATGTCACGTATGCCGAAAGGTGGCCCCTCGATATGCATATTGAGTTAAGTGGGGGACATTAAATTTACTATTACCCCATATTCCAAAGTAATTTAATACTAACTGACTTAAAGATATATATATATATATATATATATTTTTATATATATATATATATATATATATTATATATATATCCACAGCGAATCATTTTATGAAAGCGATGTAATTATGTTACATGGTATAAATGTGCACATAGAATTTATAGTCAATATGTGTCGGGACGCAGTGGAATCAGGCGCTCGTCAATTTTTCAGCGTGTAGAGGTATCATTTTAAAGATTGTTTATTTGTCTTGCTTTTGGTGAAAAAAATGTCCATTTATCTTAAATACAAGTCGAGATATTTTTGAAGGAAGGAGGTGGGTTTTACTTTATTTCGGAGGTGAGAAAATGGCTGCCAAAGATTACTCAGATTAGTTATATCCTTAGCTTGAGAGTCTGTGGAAACTGAAAATTTACATCTGTTGTGCTTTTAAACTATGTTTTTCCATAACATCCACACATGAGAATGTTTTTGAATGAGCATACAACGTGTTAATAAACCAAAAAAGCTCTGACCTTGGTAAGAAGTGTCCAAACTTGTTGCTCGCTATTTTCAGTTAATATTTTCATGATGCCCATGCACAGGCAAATTAAATGGGAGGGGGGGTGGGGGCTATCTTTGTTTATTACAACTCTATTTTGAAGAAAGTCAGAAGCAAAGTAGCCTACATGAGGTAGAGTCAATCCTGCATCCAGATTTTGCTTGGACTTTTTTAGCATATATATTAATAACGGATTACTTTCTATACTTCAGATAAACATAATTAGATCTTTTCTCTATTTCACAGGTTTGGACCGGATTCTTGAGGATAGAGCAAATTACAAGTCTTGCCGTAAACCCTTGCGGCTGGAAAATAGAAATAAACTTTTTTAGTAAAAAGAAAGAATGAGCTCAGAAATCAGTGCAACAGCTCAAGAAAAGGATCCCTCTTCTGACACGAATACTCCCTTGGTATCACCAAAACATGTCAGCAAATCTCTTCAAAATATTCAGAGCGAGTGCCATAATTCCAGCAAACCCCCTCAAAATGTCGACAGTAAAAGCCATAGACGCTCACACTCCCAATCGTTATCACCTCAGTCACCACTTGAACAGTTCCATAGGTCACTATCTTATCAGCCTGGTGCAGCTGAAAAAGTCATTAAGATGGAAGATGGAGAAATTTTTCACAGAGATTCATCTCAAAATTATGAAGATGTTCATGGAGGACGTAGTGGTAAAGCTGCAGATGTGCCTTGCTTCAGACTTGTTATTGTATCAAGCAAAGTAAGGAATATTTCTTCAATCAGACATTCATTACTCCCTGGGGTTATTTTGATACAGTATAATTGTGACACTCAAAATCTTGACGATCTTGAAGTTCAGATTGCTCAAGTTCTCAATGGCAAAAAAGTGCAAGGTACAGCGTTTATTCTTAGCTGCTCAGGTTCATCTCTTCAGCTGGTTATCAAAGAGGACAAGATTTTAAGTAAAGATGGAAATCTTGAAAAGGGTGTACAGGACTTTTTCTCTCGATTAGTGAAAAACTATTTTCTTCCAGAGGACTCAAAGTCCAGAATAGATTTCTTTGGATGGCATGGTTTACAGAACAGTGATTCTCTTCCACCTGTTGTTTCTGAACTACAACTTTTGACAGGAGTGACAGTTGGTGTTTGGAGAGATTTGACTGGCTATAGTTCCCCACAGAGGAAAAGTGATGAAAGTGCGAGTAAACCGTACATGGGAGAACTGTATTTTCGTTTGGAAAAGTTGAGAAACTGGAGTGGCAGACATCAACAAAGTTTGGCTGGTTTTGAAAAGATCAGAATTGTTGGAAAAGGTGCATATGGAGCTGCAGTGCTGTACAAAAAGAAGGATGATGAGTCTCTTGTTATCCTCAAGGAGATCAACATGCATGATCTCAATGTCAATGAACGCCAATTAGCTCTGAATGAGGTCAGTGTTTTAGCAATGTTAGACCATCCTAACATTATTAGTTATTATGACAGCTTTGAAGAAGATGGTGTTCTAATGATAGAAATGGAATATGCAGACAATGGAACACTTGCCCAGTTTTTGTCAAAGCAAGATCGTCCTCTTGAGGAAAGAGAGATTTTGCTAATGTTTCAGCAGATTGTTGCTGCCATAAGGCATATTCACTCTCATAATATTTTACACAGAGATTTGAAGACAGACAATATTTTCTTGACCAAAGAAGGGGTCGTTAAAATTGGTGATTTTGGGATTTCCAAAATGATGGGATCTGCTAATAAAGGAGCAGAGACTGTTTTAGGTACACCATATTACATAAGTCCTGAAATGTGTGAAGGGAAACTGTACAGCTTTAAGTCTGACATCTGGGCTTTGGGTTGTATTTTGTATGAGATGGCTTGTTTTCAAAAGACTTTTGAAGGATCAAATTTGCCAGCATTAGTAAATAAGATCATGAAAGGACAGTTTGCGCCTGTCAAAGGGAATTACAGTGAAGAGTTTAAGGAAATAGTGACAGATATGTTAAGGAGGAGCCCGGAGGACCGTCCAGAAGCAAACACAATCATGTACCAACGTCTTCCATCTCTCATGAATAAATTTGACAAAGCCAAGTCAGATCAAGAAGATGATACAACATCATCAGAAAGTCTTGGTAAAAAAACAAAAATCAGATCAGTACTCTATTATTTAGAGTGCTCAACTGCCACATTAACTTGCATTTACAATTTGCCTCCACGTATGAAAATCAAACACATGAGTGTGGGTCCTGATCATGTGATTGTGACTACAACAGAAAGACAAGTTTTTACTTGGGGTTTTGGAGGGTCTGGACAATTGGGTCATGGAGATACAAGAGACAGATACACACCCACCCTGGTAGAAGCATTGAAGGGAAAGTCTGTATCTTTGGTGAGCTGTGGGCTTGGGTTCAGCATCTTTGGCAGTGATAATGGATTGGTTCTAACTTGTGGTGATGGGAGTTCTGGGTGTTTAGGTCATGGTGACTGGTGTAATTCTGCTCGACCCAGACTGATTGAAAGTCTTCTCAGTGTTGATGTGGTTGCCATAGCCTGTGGTTTGAAACATGTTGTTGTCCTTGGACGTGATGGAGAAGTGATGTCATGGGGGAACGGATCTCATGGACAGTTGGGCCTAGGCTCAGAGGAAAGCCAGTGTGTCCCTACCACTGTTCAAATTGGAGAAGAGAGTGTTGTATTCAATGATGTGGAATGTGGAGTTGATGGAACTATGCTCATATCAGATGTTGGTGGGGTGTTTGCTTGTGGAAATAATGAGCATAATAAACTTGGTTTGAATAATCGGCAGGGTTTCCTAATGGCCATGAAAAATATCTTTACAAAGACTGAAGTGGATGGAAAAAATGTTCCCACTCCTGTTCGAGCCCTGGCTCGTCATCGTGTGCTTGCAGTATCCATGGGGCGTAATCATACAGCAGTTATTGTTGAACCGGGACATGTCATAACATTTGGACGTAACTTGGAGGGTCAACTGGGCACTCAAAATGTTAAACCAGCAAGTAATCCAGTTGAAGTGAAGGCTTTGGAGGAAAAGTGTGTAAACCGTGTCCAGTGCGGAGATCATTTCACTGTTGCTGGCACAAAAGACCATGAGTTGTACTACTGGGGTTTGCGGTACACATCATCTCCGATGTTGCACTATGAAGATACTACCAGCCAGTCAAGTACAAATGACAGCATTACTTGCATTCAACACCCTAACAACAAGGAGGAACTGCATATAGAAGGTGCCTGTTCCCACGTGTCAAATTCAAATGGGATGCCAGCTTCTGACAAAGATCTGATAAAGAATAGGATTTTTGACTCATCAGGTAAAGAGACGGTGGAAAACAGTCCCCCATCAGTATTTAATGATGTCGATAGTCAGGGATTCAGACCACTCAGCAGTGTTCCCCAACGTTCACTGAGTGCAAGCAGTCAGGAAAACTCTAAAGATAAAGACAGAGAATTTATTAGAGATGACAGTGTTGTGATAGCGGTTCCTAAACATTTGATACTGCTAAAGCAAGGCCCTGAAAAGATGCTCCTTGGTAATATATTTTGCCATGGGGAAAATCTATTTATTCATATTGAAACAACTGCCCCTCCCCCGCGGAGGAGAACCTTCAAGAAACGTATTATGCGACGAAAGTCGAGCCACTCTCTGGGTGTTACTTCTCCAAGGCATTTTCACAATGACATTTCTTCTCATAAGGAGAAGAAAACTGACGACAACTCTTGCTCCTCAGAAACTTCAGAGATTGATACTCACAGTGCAATACCCACATGGCTGAGAGAAGAGCTGGCCCAAAGTGCAATAGAGGTGAATGATGGCAATGAGGCAGATGATACAAGTGGTGAATCTGACGAACAAAGAAGAGCAGATGGTATTGATTCATCTATGTCCAGCATACAAATAAATAGAGCCTTGACACCAGTAGCTGATGTCAACTATCCTCCCCATCTCACCTCTCAGACATTTATCAGTGGTGATAAGTGTAGTCCACGTAATCAGAACTTTATAACTCAGAGTCGTTTCCGTGCATCCTCTGTAAACAGTTCTGAAAGCAACCCAGATGCTCTGCAACCTGAACTTTGCTCAGATAGCAGTTCTGGGGATATCTCCAAAGATCAGAGGGTTAAGCCTATGAAGAGTGAAGGAGAGACATTAAAGAATGTACTGACTGGTTACATGAGCACAAAATCTCAACCATCAAAGGCTCAGGGAAAACAAAGATCGTCAGCCAAAGGTAGAGGTCGTGGACTGGTGATGCCTAAAGAAAATCCTGTTGGGAGAGGTTTCATTTCTGATGTGACTGTAAAAAGAAGAGAGGAGTCTCTACTATTTGAACTGGAGAGGATCAAACAGGAAAAGAAATTAGCCGACGCACGCGTACGGATGTTAGAAAAGGAGAAAGATAATCAGCAGGCTCTGTTAAAGCAAGAGGTTGAAAAACTGGCCAGTGAAAGAGAGCAATCTCTTATCTCTGAAGTAGAAAGACTTAGGCTAGAGATTGAAACTCAGAATTGTTTGCTAAGCGATCGTCAGCGTGTTGTTGGGGAATTGCAACAACAGTTGCAGCTTATGTCGGAACAGCAAAGTACGGGAAGTGGAGCAACACCTAGAACCCCGAGGACTAGCAGGAATTTTTCTCAAGCTGACGATTCAGCATCTTCTGACTTTTGCACCCCAAGAGCTGAGAGCTCAGCATCATCATCGAGCAAAAAGAGCACCACTCGAATTTGCAATCTCCAGTGACATTTTCAGGAAACAGGAAACAAACCATGCTCAGTTTAGAAACATGATGTTCATTCATGTTTTAAAGTTCTGTTCTCATAGAGTGGTCAAAATATCAAGAGAGTAGGCCCTACTTGATTTGCCCTTTATATTTTAATGCATGTGTTGCATAATATGGTGCCTGAGTGTACATAATGTAAAGAATGTATTTATGTAAATATGTGTCACGACGCGGTGTAATCAGGCTCACGTCAATTTTTAGGCATGCAGAGTTATTGGTATCATCTTAAAGCTTGTTCTTTTGTCTTGCTTTGAATTTTAAAAATATCCCATTTTCTTGAATAGAATTCGATATGTTTGCAAATGCAGGAGGTGGGGGTCACCTGGTTTCAGAGATAAAATGAGTGAGAAAATGGCCCTCTAAGATAGTTAGTTCCTTAGCCTGAGAGTCAGTGGAGACTGAAAATTAACATTTTTTGTGCCTTTAAGCAATGTTTTTCAGTAAAATCCATACAGAAATATGTACTTTAATGGGCATGAAGAGAGTTGAGCCAAAAAACAAAAATTCGATAAAAATTCCCAAACCTGCAGAAAAATGCCAGTTTCTTCACTTTGATTATTTTGACGAGGGCCTGATTTCACCACCCTGCCTCACATATATGTGCTCCTTTATTTTTACGTGCCAAATATCTCTTTACCTTATTATATGAATTTTGTTGTCATGTGTTTTGTTGATATTTAGAAGAAAACTTTCACATGCAAGTCTTAAAATATTCTGTTAATTAAAGGAAAGAAATTTCCAGCCCAAATAGGTTGTGGAACATTGTAAGCTACTACATGTGGGTGGCAAATCACCCCTATATTTTATGAATTTGTAAGTGTTTTCATCTTGTTGTGCTGATTACTGAAATAATGTTGACTATGAACTCTATGAAATGTTGAAGGTCAAGGTCCGAACCCATAGGAGGGTAAACATTTTTATTTTTTGATGGTGCTGGTGGGAATGTGGAAGGGTGTATTTGCATTTTAATGTTCTTTCAAATAGGTTGGACAGGAAAAGATGAGGGGGGGGGGGGGGGGGGGTTCAGAGTGGATGTCACATCTGTTTCCTGGTGCGGTGCAGCAAACCAGGATTTTTTCACAAAGAATAACATCAACTTGCATGAAGGATATCCCTCTGAAAGTGAAAAAAAATGAATCTTTACTTTGGTTATGAAAGTGACCAGTAACGAGTTAGAGAACCCTGTAATTTGGTGTTGCATAATTCACAAGGCACACTGGCATGAACAAGTAGCATTTGAACTAGGGATATTACAGGATCATTACATGCAATCATCAGTCTGTAAGATACGTGTAATATAAATTGTGCAGCTGCCCACATCAGCACAAGTGCCTTTAAATTTGTGAAGAAGAAGTGCAAAACAGGAAAGTCTGAGAGAAGAGGGTTTGGCCGGATTTGTGAAAATTATGTCTTTATGAATGAAAGCTATTTATTGCTAAAGATTTCATCCTCACAAATTACTTATTTTGCAGTACTTCTATTTCAAAGATATCAAGAATTTGCATATATTATGAACTTGCTTCTCTGCCTCTTCGCGTGATTATATTTGCAGTTCTGAGTTCTGGAAATGTGATTTCTTTGAAAAAACTTACTTATCAATAACTTCTTCAATGCAATGAATGTGTGGTTTGTTGTCATAGATTTTTAGGTTTTGTTTTGTGTGAGCTTCATACCCACATGACCCAGAACATGTCAGTTTGATTTATGAAGGTTTGTTCACAAAATTATCATAACAATTAACAAACAAACACCATTACTATTTCTTCACTTTGATTGAATTGACACAAATTCTACAAGGGCACATTGTGCTTTCATTTAAGGCTGGAACTCTTACTCTTTTTGACTTTGAACATGTCATGTCAAATGTCAAATGATTGGCTTTCAGATCCAGATCTGAAAAGAAGAATCCTCATTATTCTGTCTCATTGTGGGATTGGGATAAAACCTCAACTGATGACATGATTTTTAAATCGCATTAAAGAGTAGACAGCCAATCTTATGTTGGATTACTTGAGCATAGGAACTGAAAAGTAATTATTTTGGGGTGTTATTTTGAAACTTCGGTCCTGTTACCTATATTTAATCATTAAAAGTTGTAATTGAAATTTTGCACAGTAGTACTTGTAGATATCCCTCCACTTCCTGGATACTGCGCAAATAGGTAGATATATCTGAATGCACTACTTGAGAATGAAAGATGCTTTCTGTCGTAATTTTAGCTTTTGTTACCATGCGAGAAGGATAATTATTCAATCTGATATTCATGCAATTTTGATAGTTTTAAGCAATAATTGTAATTTACTTTCACCTTTTCAAGCAATGTTCATTTCAGAGTCAGTTACATATAAAATTTATTGTCTTGACATTGTCTGATAACTCTTTCCTGTCGTTTCGAAAAGATAATTCAATATTGATGAATTCGCTATTGCGTTTCACTTTGAACTTTTTATTTTTTGACATACCGTACTCCTCTTTTTTTCAACTTCTGCAATTCTTTACTGATTCAGTTTTGCGTTTGCTCAAACTTTTTTTGTGTGTTTGCAAGCTAATATTTTTACAATTTGCTTGAAAGATTTAATTCTTGTATATATATTATTTATCAACTTTTCTTGACTTCCATAATATATCTTTAGTGTTGTGCTCAAGACTTGGCGTGTCTGTTATGTTGGGTTCAACTGGCTACAACTCTTTTCACAAAGCAATGGGCATCTTTTACTCACCCAACTGTTCATGCATTTACTACCAACACTTTATCCGTCCATTTTTTAATTGACCTTACCCTATTTGAGTTTCTATTGAAGACACTGCATCCACAGGGTTATTGTCAATAACAAGATACCTGTTTATTATGAAATTTGGAGGGATAGTAAAGAAGCAAATCCTGTCAGTTTTCAGTTTTGCCGTGGTTGTCAGGTATTCTGTTGTTTCGGCCCTCGTCAATATGGTCTTCTCACGTTTACCTTTGCCCTTTGCCTTGTATATTTTAATATATTTTTATATAATACTTTGGCTGCCATGTACATGTTTTCCTTTATTCAGACCTATGATTTAATTTGGTTTGTAGCAGCCGTGACTGTGAACATTTGGTTCACTTTTTATTCTAACAATAATTCGTGTGTACTACAAATTCCCACACACTGTAACAAAATGGAAAATAAAGAAAGGAAGAAAGTGTAGATAGGTGGAAGTCGAGCCATATTTTCTAAGTTATCAGTTATCTTAACAATTGGTATTTTTTTTGTACTGTGGCGTCGGAAATTCCTTCATCCATGCATATATATGGAGTTTGGGTCGTCTTTTGGGGTTGTTCCTCCTAAAAAGTCTACTCTAAGTCTAAGATATTCTCTATAAATAAATTAAACTACTGTCGTCTTCGTTGCCACGGTCGTTTTTAAGCTGGTATGTTAGATATATGTACAAAAAAGTGAGAAGACATGGAATAACATCAAGAGGCTAGACCGGTTATAGGGAAAGGTGGAAAGTGTTTGTTCGTGGCCTTTACCTTATGGAGGGTGGGGAAGGCTTTGATGATGATAATGATGATGTTATATGTTGGTCATTGTGCGGAGGAATGGTGTACTATTCACATGTCCAGTGGGACTCATCCTTTGGGTCAGACCAGCGTCCAAATACATCTTACTGTGATCTCGAAGGACGTGTGATACTTGGTGACAGGACTCGCAGTTAGCCTAGGCTAAATTGCCAGGCCAAAGAATTCAATTTGTTAGGGGGGCTGATGTCTTAAATTTATTGTCCCCTAGGATGACAACTCAACTAACCACATGTATATCATTTAATCATATGAACGTTTGTAGCCAGCTGGTCCGGCGTATAGTTGGCGTAATTGGCATGCTGTACATGTATTATACAGACTGTCTTTTGTACGGCTCTATCAGGGCCTGTCCTGGGCGGACAGCGGCATAAGAGGAATGACGTATAGTACAACCCCCTAATCTCTCCATTAGTATGTACGTGATTGATTTAGACTGAGGATATTTAATACGTGTCGGTCTACACGTAGATCAACCTGAGATGAAGGGAGGGAATTGCTTTTTCACATGTTATATGGCTGCACTTGTTGTATCGTAACCCTCTTAATTTCACAGTGCATTAAACACACTAAGTTGAGGCTTTTGAAAATGTGTATGCACAAAGGCTATATATACATGATGTATATTATGTTGGCTATGCTCTCCTCTCTCTCTCTCTCTCTCTCTCTCTCTCTCTCTCATGCTCTCTCTCTATCTCTCTCACTCTCTCTCCCCTCTCTCTTTCTCTCTCTCTCTCTCTCTCTCTCTCTGTCTCTCTCTCTCTCTCTTTGTGCGTTTAAATGGTCTCACTTGGACTGTACATGTATAATAATCAGGCGTCTCAATTAATATTATATTGTATCGTCTGATCTACAGAGAAGCACTCTCAACTCTCAACCAGTGTGCGTGTGAACGCATTAATTTTTTTTTTTATTGCTGCTTGGGAGTAGACTACTAACCAAATAATATATTATATTAATGTTGAAACATGTGAATATCCCCCCTTTCATCTTAATTTATAAAAATGCATAGTCTGTCTTCTTTGAATCTTGAGTAGATTGTTTGACCTGTACTGTTATGGCCGTTGTTCATAATATTTATTTATTATTTTGTCTCAGGCGACCGTGGTTGTGATGGCCGTTGTGTGTGAGTGTGTGTGTGTGTGTGTGTGTGTGTGTTTGGATGTGCATGTGTGTGTGTGTGTGTGCTTTCGTGTGTGCTTTCGTGTGTCTGTATGCGCGCACGTGTGTATGAGTCGGTAGGCCTATCTGTTTGGGATTTTTTAAATGGCTTTTCTTTGGTTTTGTTTTGTTTTGTTTTTTATACATTAATATTATAGGCCTATCCATATTATCTGTGCCTGCACTCTTTTAATGATGTGTTAAGTTGTTGAGTGTGATATACCTGTATTATCAGTGTTTCACCCATCTTTTATCTTGCCATTTGTCACTTGGTTCAATTTGGGAGTTTGACAGCAGTGAGTGCACCGCCTATGTTCTGATCGGGAACATGCCACTTTAAACAGTGCGAAGGTCTAAAAAAAAACTACAGTGTCATCAAATCGGTGTCATGATGTATAATAATCAAGGTGCCTTTCATACTTTGTACCCAAAGTCCGCGACCTTTTAATTCTTTAATTTCTTTGTTTTTTTTAAAATGCGACAGGTTTGGGTGGGGTTTTTTTTCTTCTTTTTTTGGTTCTCTTCTTGTGTGTGTGTGTG